TTTAAGCTTGATAAGCTGTTGTTAGAATTTATTTATTATTGCTTTCTACACAGTGTTGGGGAGTAACGGAATACATGTACCGCCGTTACGTATTTAAAATACAAAATATGAGTAACTGTATTCCGTTACAGTTACCGTTTAAAAAGGTGGTATTCAGAATACAGTTACTTTGTTGAAATAAATGGATTACACTGCGGTACTTTCCTGTTTCATTTTGTCGCGGGTCAGGACTGTTTGGGTTTTGTTTGACAGCTACGTTCTGTTGTTCCAGGCGGCAGCGTTACGGTTGCCATGGTTACAGGGCGACGCTCTCTCTCTCTCTGCGACTGTGTGTTTCCTGGGTGAGAGAGCGCCTTTTCGTTGTTGTTGTTGTGCTAAGCTAACAGGCAGAATGCTACAAGCATAGCTCTAAGGAATGTAGCATCATGGGCAGTGTAGTCCGTGTTTCAGGGAGAATGGACTGCCATACACGTTATGGGTCTGTGAGCGCGAGGAGGGAGAAAAAGGGGAGTGGAAAGGTACGAGTTGTCATCGAGGAAAAACGGGAGCTGGAAGCATGTAAATATAATAATAACCACTTCAGCCAAGAAGAGTGCCTGACGAGCCCAGTTGTAAGTAAGCTATTAAGACTCGACTGTACACTGTGTTCGTGTTTTCCTCCGAAAACAATAAGTTCCGTTGGAGCAGTCTTTCAACGCCTCTCTCTGTCAAGAAAAGTTGACCCAGACAACAAAGTAAAGCTATTTTTCGGCTACGAGCCGACAGGGACCCCGCCGTATTAGTCAGAGGTCCCTTTACTACAGTTCGGAGTCGCGGACCTTCAGTAATAGTAATAAATCACACAGCAATAGTACATTCACGTTGTTGTAAAAAGCATGATAATATATTATCGGCCAGCCCCTCCGGGTCCCTGGGGAATTCTTACCTGAGAGCCCTCCCCCATGTTTCGATACATCTTTGTTGCCTTTTCGCCCCCCAAGAGACTCATTTCCTGTTCCTGTGCACCACTGCCTGCCTGACACTTTTGTTCCGAGTTCGTTGGACTCTGCTCGTTTCGTTTTCGTCAGGCACAATGCCCATAGGACTCCGCTGCGTCCACCATATGACGGGCCATACAGGGTTCTTAAACCAGGCAACAAACATTTCATTTTGGACTTTGGCGGTCGGCAGGAGGTTGTCTCTGTTGACAGCCTTAAGCCTGCACATGTTATGCAAGAGGCAAGAGGATCAGGTGGTCCCGGCCCAGGCCCCTCGCCGTGGCCGCCCACCTGCCACCGGGCTGACCCACAATCAACGGAGTCCGAGTCGTCTGCAGTTTTTTCTGACTGCCGGTGCCAGCCTCGCTCCCGGGCTGGGTTGCCCTCTGTCAGTTCCCCACCCGCCCCGGTTCAGCCGTTCCGGCCGTTTGCTTAAGCCCTGGGTCCTGGACTAGTTCTGCTGGGTGTTCGGGGGGGGGGGGGGGGGGGGGGGCATGTGTGGTGGACTACTAGAGGGCTCCACTAACACCCAGTGTTAAGGAAGTGTGTTCCTGTGTTTTGGGGCGCAATATGTGCAGTTGATGTTGGAGAGGAATAAAGGAGTGAGAACTGAGAGCTCTGTGTCGTTGATGCTTACTTCCACATAGTACTCATCCACAACTATTTTCAGTTGCCGAAGATATAGGATTCAGAAAGTTTATTCATGCAGGCCCATATGACAGAGAATATGCATGTTCTTTTTTTTCATATTTTAATTTATATTTAATTGTGTTGTGGTTTGCAGTGTTTTGTGTTGTTTCACTTTAAATTTATTTAAAAAGAAAAACCTGAAAATTTAAATAGTTAAAAGCTGAACTGTGAATAGTTGGTTTTTGTAAAATATGATTTATTTATTACATTTTATGTGTAGTGAATAAATAAAAGTATATTTACGGTGGCCCCTAGAGAGAAAGCACGTACAAACCCCGAACCACGTAAAAACTCCAAAACATGTAAAAACTCCATAGCACGTACAAACTCCGAAGCACGTACAAACTCCAAAACACGTACAAACTCCGAAGCAGGTAAATACTCCAAAACACGTAAAAACTTAGAAGCATGTAAAAACTCCAAGACACGTACAAACTCCAAAACATATACAAACTCCGAAGCACGTACAAACTCCAAAACACGTAAAAACTTAGAAGCATGTAAAAACTCCAAAACACGTACAAAACACAACAGAAGTGCTCCAGGATGCTAGGCGCAGTGTTGAGCTTTTGTTACCTAGTGGCTACACAAGCCAGGAAGTACCAATGACCGGATTTGGTGTGTGGTAGTAACAGGTAAATGAACTTTTTTTTTTTATTTGAATATATATGAGTGCTTGTGTATAAATACACAAACCATACACATATGCTTTCAATTGTGTAATTTAAGTGATCTAGGTAGCTCTGTTTTGGAAGTTCAGTTAACGCTAGAAATATGTTTTGGAGTTTGTACGAGCTTTGGAATTTGTACGTGCTTTTTGGAGTTTGTACGTGCTTTGTCTCTAGGTGCCACCGCATATATTTATATATAAACATATATAAATAAAACCACTTTTTTTTACATTAGTAATTCCTTTTGTGCATAATTTTCTATTATTGTTAATAATAAATTAATTAAAGCAACAAAACAACCTGAAGAGCCGGTTCGGAGCCGAAAGAGCCGGCTCTTTTTAGTGAGTCGAGCCGAAAGAGCCGGTTCTCTAAAAAGAGCCGGAAATCCCATCACTACAGTAAAAACTCCGGACCTGTGACATCATCAAGTACGCTGGTGTTCCAATTGTACTCCCGTGCGGTCTTGGCAAGTCCAGTCTCGCCGAGAACGCGAGTATGTACTTGCTTACTTAGAACTGAGAAAGGTCCAGTGAGTGATTCGTAACAGGAAGGGAGGGGTGAGTGAGTCAGTGATTCGTAACAGGAAGGGAGGGGATGAGTGAGTCAGTGGCTGTATCCCAATTCAGGGTACACGGCAGTGCACTACAGGCATAAATCTAGACCCCTAGATAAAACATTATGGCATTATAGCAGTGACAACTCCTCCACAGTAGCAGGTGGGATTTTTCTTTTTTGAGGACGGCTCCTTTTACCTTTCAATATGGATGGTCTGTTTATGTTTTGATCAAGAGCCTTTTTTTGGGCAGCTGAAGAGGAGAAGTCTATCTTATGGCCAACCACTGACTGTATCTTGGTTACATTACCCAGCAAAACCCAGTATACAGGTTCATCTGTAACAGTCCTTGTGCCACGATCAACACTGTTGCTTCTACATTAAACAGAAGAGCAATGACGTGGGTACAGGTCTCCGCGACTCCGGCCTTACAGGTGCAGTGTGCGGCTTCAACTTTCATTGTGATGCTCACAATGACTCATGGCTGCAATGCTGGTTCATTCAGTCTTTGAGAGTGCAGGACCTGAAACACAGACAAAGTTCATTTAAAGACAAGAACTATGAGTCAAGGCCGACATAAATGTGTTTAATCTACTTTATCATAAATGTAACAAAGTGTTTAGAAAGTTAGCACATACATGTAATTTTTCATTTCTTTATGTGTCCATCTATAGAACGCTGCATGTTATAGTGTAAATCTGCCTGTTCTCTGTCAGAAACCTGCCTGCAGAAAATGAACCTAAAGCATGTAATGCAAGGATGTAATCACTTTAGAGATGGAGAAAGCATAAAGTGACAATTATGAATCACTTAATATGATAAGGAGATTCTGCAGGTCATTAATCGATGTATAAAACTAAAATAAAATTTATTTTTAGTGACACAAGATACAAATATGGAAGCAAGATGTATAATTAGAATTATTTATAATAAATATGAATTAATAATGAATCAAATGCATCCTTCATTTCCCTGAATTCACTGTACCAGTGCACCTGCACATGTGATGTGACAATAGAAGTGATTTGATTTGAGAGTTCAAACTCACTGCTGTAATAACGTATAATGATTAATATAATAACTATGATATTGGCCATATTATATTTACACTGACTTTAGTCTCATGAACAACATTAACTAATTGTTATTTACTAGCTAATCTTAAATGACTGTTCAGTACAGAAATGAAGCCCAACAATCATGTTTTACAGTCCTGTGGTCTCAGCCTTAGATACTTATTAAATCACACAGAGCTCATGTAGAAACAAACTAACAAACAAAATATGTTCTCCTTCATTTCTGTCAACCACACGTTTCCAGCTATCATGGTTGCTAGACAACCTGGGCAGCGCGACGGAGGCTAGACCGTCCCATTTCACAAGCCTCGCACTTCCGGCCTTAGCGGTCTTTGAGTACGCGGCCCTCGAGGACCGTTGAGGCTGCGTACTTTAAGGCTGCAGACCCTGAATTGGGATACAGCCAGTGATTTGTTCAACTCGTTTGAGCTGTGAGCCAGGAGGGAGGGGGTGAGTGATTCAGCACAGCAAAGGAGGGGATGAGTGAGTGAGTGATTCGCCTTACCCTATGATTCAGCCTAGCAAGGGAGGGGATGAGTAAGTCAGTGATTCGTTCAACTCGTATGAGCTGTGAGCCAGGAGGGAGGGGGTGAGTGAGTGAGTGATTCGCCTTATGCTGTGATTCAGCACAGCAGGGGAGGGGGTGAGTAACTCAAATGTGCTGTTAGCATGCTAGCTAAGCGATGCTACTGTGAACTGAGGAGCTATTGTCTTGATGTGAGCTTCTACTCAGGGTTTTTTCTTCTAGTTCAGAGCAGAAATGTTTTTGTTAAGAAACTGGCTGTTGTTTTTTCCCCCCACAATTTTAATTATAAGATAGATATATTTCTACTAATGGAATTAGTTTGCTAACAGCAACAGGGATGAGTCAGTGAGTCAGTTGCGCTTGTGAATCATGATTCACGAGTCAGTAAAGTGATTCTCGAGTACTGAACGATTCGTTTACGAATCGAACATCACTAATCAATACAAATGGCATGGCAACAGGGTCCAAAGGCTCCACAGGTTCTGCATCATGACGTAGCTTTTCTAGTTAGAATAAAAAGGAAGAACAGCAGTTCTGCAGTCAGCAAACAGAGGAAATTCAAGTTTATTTCTATCTTTAAGAAGCACGATGAGTGAGTGCAGAACTTCTACAGTAAGTCAGTTTTTAATGTATTAATATATGCTGGTGTGTGGCAATTATGTAGTAGTTTTAACAACTTAGTGAAAGATATATGCTCTGCTGGTGGATGATGGTGTGCCATCCTTTGTGATTTTCTTTTCACTATGTCAGAAAGCTGTGCACTATTAACAAGAAAATATGTCTGTTATAGCAGTTTTAATGAATATTTCTATAACTTCGTCATCTTTTGAAATAAGGTATAAAATTGTGTTAAGTAATCAAGAATAATAAAAAAGATATACAGTTATGAAGAGAGTCAGTGAATTGTCTTCCTGTAACCGACACCAATTCAATTCAATTCAATTTCTTTATTGTCCCACAAGGGGAAATTAGTTTAGCAGCAGCCAGCTGCTGCAGTAATAATGTGAAACATGCTGTGGTACACTAACTGAGTTATTTAAACGTTGCATGCAAATCCTCTGCAGGATAAACAGGTTATTTTGCTACACTGTGATGGATTAAAAGGTCACAGTTATGTTACATCAAGTGTAGCACAGATTCATATGAATTTTTGCTGATGATGCTGAGATTCATTCTCTGAATTCCACCTTCATACCAACTGTATAGTGCCCAGTGTTGGGCAAGTTACTTTGAAAAAGTAATTATTTATAGTTACTAGTTACTTCTTCAAAAAAGTAAGTGAGTTCGTAACTGAGTTACAAGATTCTAAAAGTAATTAATTACTTGAAAAGTAACTATTGCGTTACTTAAAAAAATTGTTTAACTCTCTGGTGTCCAGGGTATAATTGGTCATTTTTTAATACATTTGATGTTTCCTCTACATTTCACTTTTAAAAACTAATTACTTTGCCTTGTTTGGTATCATTCTTTTCAGCACAACCTCACGTGTCTGAATTTACAGTTATGTTTTCATTTTGACATACTGTATTAACACAATTGATCTAAAATAAGACAAAAAACATAAAATCCGAGTAGAAAAAGTTATATTTTTTACTGTAACAACCACAAATATGTTTATTGAATCATATTTCATAACTTTAAATGCAAATATAAATTGTCAATTTTAAAATCAAATGCACAAGTTTTGCAAACAACAAAGTTATTTGCAGTTTCAATAAGATGCCACACAAATTATTTGTGCCACTCCAAAATAATAATTTCTGTCCACTATAAAGGAGAACATTACAAGCCTGACAGCAGGAGGTGTCAGGCTCCTACCTGGAGACAGCAGTCGCCGCATTGTTCTGACACACAACACAAAACCATCCCCAACACTACACGCTAACTACAGAAGATTAACTACACACTCCAAACATGCTAAACATCGCAAATCTCTCACATCTCAAAATTCGCTCTCTCTCTTTTTCTGCTGTCTTTCTCTCTCACCCTCTCTCGCCGTCACTCCTAAAACTTCCCCCTCTTCCTAAACAACCAAATGTCAAGTTGCCCATTTTTTTGATTAGTTGACATGGTTCATTTTTCCACCAACACGAACGGGCTGTTTTTTGTTTTGTGTTTTTTATTTTTTGCTCATAAGCAGAGAGTGCTTGCTAGCGCTGTGCTCAGACAGTAAACATGACGAAACTATTGAGGAAAAAACACACATATATATTGTTTATCATGACTCTGGTTTTACGTGGCCTATCAACACAATTTAAAAACTGGTATATATCACCTTGTTGCTTTGTCATCTTAAAGTGGTCGTGTGATTGGCTTACCACGACTACTTTATTCTTCCTCAGTCAAACAGCAGCACTCATGCGATTGTTTTGCCCCCTTAGCTCCAGGTGTTGTGCTAGACAGTGATCGTGATTGCCGTCCGCAGGAGCGCGCACAGCTGCGTAAAGCTGTAGCGCCCAGATTACTTATTTAATCTGATATAAGGTGCGGTAAGCTGAACACAGCTTCAGCCGTCTGTTTGTTGGAAAATTTTAACGCGACCGCACCACATTTTCTTGTTAGTAACTGTAACTAACAGAAGGTTGAATGCTACATGAACAGTATAGAAACTTATACAAACTTACAAACACTGGTATCAGAGCTCAAATAGAATTCACCTATGAACTTTGGGGCCTTTTATACACTGCAGCACACCTACCCTGCAGCTGAGCCAGGAACCACACCTCCGCCACACACTCATCCGAGTTTGTGTGTTTTTCCGTCTGACCAGATGCAGCTTTCTGCAGCATCTTTTAAACATCCTTATACTCTGTGGCAGGACGTGGTCTGTGGTGCCACTACAGGGGCGGCACACACCTGAGCGCCATCACAATCACACCTCACCGACTTAAAAGCTGAACTAGGTCCTGCAGTGTTGTTGTTGTTGGTAATGTGTGTTTGTGAACGGCAAACGAGTGTTAACAACAAGATGCTGGAAGCACGAGCATGAAAGTATGCAGTGTGATGTTTACTTACTCATCACCACAATATATTTATGTGTTGAACAGAAATCATATCCTTCCTTGTCATTAAAAACCAATTCTGTAGGATGATTTTCACTAACTAACTCAGATTGATTCTCAGATTGATTGTTAGGAAAAATTGTGGGAAACAGAAAGAAAGTGGGAGAGTATAAAGAGTTATCACACCAGACCCAAGAGCAGAAGACAAAAGTGAATGGCAGCTGTGGCAACTCAGTGAATAAAATCCAGTCATTTTCATGAAGATCTTCTAGACAGAGAAAGATTTAAGGTTGAAAACTGATTCATAACAAGTTCCTACAAAAGTACAGATAAAGCATTAAATCAGCAAGCAAGAAGTGCAAATAGTGTCATAACATACTGTATGAGTGCAGAGGTCAAATAAGAAAATTGTTGACAATTTATTTTTAAACTATGCAAAAGAATGTCTTTATTGAATTGTGGGAAACATTTTTTTCTCCTTTAGCCTGAACCAGAGATCCCCGTCACCATTGCCATGTCTTCAGGACTCCTCTTCAAGCAAGAACAGCAGGGCTATGGCCCTGCCTTCCAATTTGTTGAGGTCATATATTATGAGGGGAAAAACACATACACAAAATTGCATGTAGTGGTTATGTGAAAGATGAGAATATACCACATAAGACAAAGCACCACAGAAACCTGCACACAAATACTGCACTCACACAGTTACTTAACATTCACTCGAATTTAATTTATCTTCCTTGTCCTGCTCTCAGGCTCTGAAGGCAGTCAATGCTGAACTCACAAACCATTACCCTGACAGTGAGGAGCTCTTTAAAGTCAAACTCATCAATGACAGCTCAGACTTTCTCATGAATCGGATTCGTGAACATGGTGAGTTTATGATACCTCCAAACACACTTACTATTATTTCAAATACATGTGTCTTATGAGGAAACTTCTAAATTTTGAGAAAATGGATAAATGGAAACAATTAGACTGAGACTGAGACAATCTTTCCACTTCTAAGTGATTCTGATCAACTCTTGTTTACCCCAATACCTTTTCTAAATCATTCAGGCTTCATTTGTACAGCACTTTTCATGCCCTTCAAATTTTTAAATAGATTAATGACAGGCTTACAATAAGACAACAAAAACACTAAAACAGAATCTTATAAAGTAGAATACACTTGAAAGTGTAAGTACTCTAAAAACAAGTCAATACAAAAATAATAGATATAAGTAAGTAATAGTAACACTATTGCTAACACTACTCTGATGAATCTAAACAGATTTGGTAAATCAGATTGTCCAGCAGCCTTTTCATTCCTTCTTGTTTGCAGGGCTGGAAGAACTTATCACTCCGTTACCTGTGACTGAAGATCAACTTGTGAATGAGTTACAAAGAAACAACACCCACCTGTACCTGTCTGATGAACCAGGGTTGAAGGTTCAGGAAGCTTTGAATGAAGGTAAAAGTGTTAAATGTGGTGCTAATTTTAAGACAAAGTGCAGTTTCTGCTGTTGTACTTTAATGACTCTGTGTGTTACTGTGAATGAATGTCCCTACATCAGGTGTAGCAGCTGCTATCATGTTCACCCCAACAAACATCATCACAGAGTCTGAGAATCAGCTGCGTGTTGCCTTTGATGGCGACGCTGTCCTCTTCTCTGATGAGTCAGAGCTCGTGTTCAAGAGTGGTGGACTACAAGAATACTTGAAGAATGAGAAGCAAAATGTCGAAATTCCAATGAACGAGGTATGAAAGATAGATGATAGAAACACATTCCATCTTCTTTTAATATTTTTCAAAAAAACAACTAATTTAACTATATGGTTACAGTTATGTTGGCCTTCTGCACTGTTGTAAGCAATATATATTTAGTAATAGAAAAGAAAATCTTTGCTAATTACATTCACATAAACTGATATCAGCTAAATTATCCAAATGCACTTTCCTGCTTTGACCAGATTGTCATGTGTTGAGTCTCTGCTCTTCTTCTCTTTTCTTTATTCAGGGACCATTCAAAGGATTCTTGGAGGTTTTAATAAAACTGCAGAAAAAGTTGCATAATAGAGGCTTGTACAAGAAGTGTCCCATTCGTACCTACCTGGTGACATCTCGAGGGGCAGGCTGTGACGGCTACAGAGCTTTAAACACTCTGCACACCTGGGGTCTGGAGCTTGATGAAGCTGTGTTTGTGGGAGGGGCTAACAAAGGTCCTACACTGCAGAGGATCAAGCCTCACATCTTCTTTGATGACCAGCAGAGACATGTTGATGCTGCATTGGAGGTCGGCACAGTGGCATGTCTGGTGCTCTCACCAAACTAACAATAAATAGCAATCTGTTGATTGGATTTTATAACTGCTGGAAACATGTGAACTTGAAAAGTATGTTTCCATAATGCTTCATAAATGCAAATAAATTAACAAACAAACATCTTTATCTCATCTGTGGTCTGTTGTGTTTTTTTCTACAGTATCAATGTTTTATAAATTTTGAATTCTATCAAATGCTTCTTAGTAAATCAGCTGTTTGTGAAAATCAGCTGATGGTTTTCTTTTCACTGTTGAGTGAAAAACAAACCACTTCAACACCTGAATGAGCAGATCAGAAGGGATGGCAGAAGTGATGAAAGCATTTTTTGTGACATTATGTTCATAAAAGATATTTTATGTAAAAAAAAAAAGTCTGCACTATGTGAAAGAGCTGCAATAGCAGACTTGGATTTCCTCACACAGAAACAATATTTCAGGATGAAGATGCAAAGTATTATTATTGAAATATGTGCTGTTAATCAAAAGAGAGTAAGTAAGGTTTATTTATTAAGCACTTTTCATAGAAAAGCAGTCACAAAGCACTGTACAGAAAGGGCTTAAATAAACAGAACTTCAGGTACTCAGTCAGACAATAAAGACAATACAAAAGGTCAAATGTAAATTAAAGTTTAAGATTTTAAAAAAAAGTCCATCTATGAGCCCGTCTATTACAGTGGCTGTGATCAGAGTTACGTTACATCAAGTGAAATAGAGGTGAATTTGAAGTTAAGCTGATGATGCTTAGATTCCTTCACTGAATTCCACCTTCACACCAACTTTATAGTGTCTAGTATAAAGACATAAACAGGCATTAAAAGATACAAAGGCATTAACAGTATACTGAGTATAGAGGATGGAAATCTGCAATGACAACTCGTGAAAAATACAGAATGTCTGTACCTTTGCAACCTCTGAAGGTTTCTTGCTTTGATAAGACAGGCTGGATTGTTGATCTGCAGGACGGGCACCTCTATACAGGAAGTCTGGTTCAGCTTTTTTATTGAAGTCCAAGTGTATCCCCTGCTTTCCCTCATATGATAAACCCTGAGAAGCACTATAGGTCAGATCTTATCAGTCACACCAGTTAGCAGCAGCTCCCCTCTTGATCATTGCACTTGTTCACCTGGGATGATTTAAGAGGCCTGGAAAGAAGGCACCAAGGGACTGTAACATTAGAAGGTGGAGTAGCCTGTATGAGCTTTTTAAACTAAAACTACTTAATACTCACATTTATCCCTTTACTCTTTCACAAAGGATTAAGTGTATTGAACACAGTTAGCTGTACTAATGATACACACAAGCTTTACACCATAATAGTTAATTTTAATATAAATGTATAAAAATTATCATCATGAAAACACAACACAATGATTAAAAACAATCTTGAGAGAATAACAAGACTTCCAGTTTTGGCATGAAGCAATATATGAGTTCTACATGATTTTCAGCTGATGAAACTCACCAACCATCCCACTGCTGCTCCAGCACCAGCAGTAGCTGACAGACCAGCTGCACCTGCAGCACCATGACACAAAGAAGCTGTCAAAAGCATACAACAGATGCAATTATCTAATCTAAAATTATGATATTTTGATGAACTTTTTCTTTTTGCATGTTGTTGCAAGTTAAAATCCTAATGAAACATCTAATTATTAATTTACCTGCTGACTGCAAAGCAGCTGCCACACTTCCAGCTGCCACTCCTCCTCCATTAGCAACTGCAGCAGACGACATCATGCCTGCAGCTATTCCTGCTGAGGTGAAACCAGCAGCTCCCAGAAGGGATCAAAACAAGACATGACTCACCGGGGTCCATGTCTTTATCTGCCCTGTGTCTGCTCTGAAATGGGCTGATTTTTATAGCAAGCAAGGTTTCATTTCCTCGGAAACAAAACTTTATGTTCAGAGCTGAACAACAGAGGGCGACAGAGAGCAACACAAACTGGAGAGTGATTTCTGTTTTTTGTGTTTCTTATCTTTGCTTATATTGGTAAATGCGGTGGTGTTAGTAGTATTTACGAAAGGGTCACATGTATAAAATAAAGAAACCGGTATCTTTGTGGCTGTAGCTTCATGAGAGATTTGCGTCAGATTAAATGCCAGTTCGTCATTCACAACAGTTTAAATGTCGGAAATATTTATAACCAGATGGCAAAATATCACTTTCTTATCAGTATAATAATGCAGTGAGAAAATAAATCCAAACAATTTGTGCTTACAAGTAGAATTTGTATCATGTGCGACACTCGAGTGTGTCCGACTTCACTTCAAGCTTTGGTGATCGCTTTATTTCTGCCAGTTATAGAAACCAAATATGTCAGCTTTGGTACTCAATTAAATAAAAATAATGATACATGTCTTAGTATTTTCAGATAACAGATAAATAAATAAATATAAAAAAAATAATAAAAATAACCAGAACACAACTTTAAAATCCATCCATCCATCCATCTTCATCTGCTTTATCCGAGGCCGGGTCGCGGGGGCAGCAGCCAAAGCAAAGAGGCCCAGACCTCCCAGGACTCAAGAGTGGGGAGGAGAACATAACAGCAGTAAGTTGCTTTAATTTATGGAGGGTGTTTGAAATGAGCATTTCATTTAGTCCATGCGATGCCTGCCAGTGAAGGCGAGCACAAAGGTAACAGGATTATTGTGTTTACCTTGGCTACAGTCACAATAACCACTGTGTTAATCACTAATGAGTTCCTCTACAATGCCACACGTGGGGGGGCTTAAGTTATGGCAAAATTAAGCAACATCAGGTATGAAACACGTATGAAGCAGATAATAGCCAACTTTATTTTAGGCTGCACAAAAGAGTCACTCCTTGTAAATATATACATTTATCTACTCTCAAACAAATCCTTAAAAACAAACTATGATAATGTAAAGTGAAAGATGGCAAGTTATAACTACAGGGAGTGCAGAATTATTAGGCAAATGAGTATTTTGTCCACATCATCCTCTTCATGCATGTTGTCTTACTCCAAGCTGTATAGGCTCAAAAGCCTACTACCAATTAAGCATATTAGGTGATGTGCATCTCTGTAATGAGCAGTGTTGGGACTAACGCGTTATTAAGTAACGCGTTACAGTAACTACGTTATTATTGTGGTAACGAGCACGGTAACTAGTTATTATGCCAAAACCGGGAACGCGTTACTCGTTACTGGGATTTAGATAGGCTCGTTATTCGTTACTTCGTGTGGTGGCTATCGCGGAGCTTCCACAGATTCAATAACATTAGCAAGTGGTGGAAGCCAGCAGGTGGATGAAGGAAAAGGGAGGCAAGAGGAGAGACCCGAAGCAGCCGCCGGTCCGAGTATCAGGTGAACTGAAGTTCAGGTAAGAAGTTATAACCTGCAGTCTATCTGGGTCAGATATGAACCAAGTTTAGGTGGAGTTTATTTTCGTTATGCTGACTTTTTCGTACTGCGTGCTAGCTAGCATGACGGAGTTTCTATACAGCTGGGTGGCTGCTATGTTACTGATGTTGAACTTTATTTTGTTCAACATCAGTAGGTTAATTATTAGAGTTGCCAACCGTCCTGTAAAAAACGGAATCGTCTCGCATTCAGAGAAAATATTACGCGTTTCGTATTGAGGTGAAAAGGAACAGTTTGTCCCGGACTTCAGCTACAATGAAAAGACACAAAGCTGGAGTTATTCTGCGTCTTTGCTGCAGAGCTGCCTCTTCTTCTCTCACCCTCCCTCTCCTGTTTCTACTTCAATCATGAAACTGATCAATGATCAGCTGATCGGCTTTTCTCTCTTGTTGTTATCGCCCACTTTGCGCCAGAAAGAGGAAACCAGCGGATGTTGCGCTAAACAACAGCAGCGCGTTTAAGCTTGATCAGCTGTTGTTAGAATTTATTTAATATTAATTTCTAGTATCAGCTGATGTTTGCTGGAGCCACAGCTGTAAACCTGCGGGTCATGATGTCGGTTTGGTTATGTGGTGAGATGGAAACATGAAGACGAAACCAGGAGATGTCCTTACTGAATCATCAGAGCTGTGATGGAGAAACAGGTTTACCTTTTAGGTGACATGAATGAGTTGAAGGGAAGTTATGAACTGTTTCTGAGAGACAAATAACACCAGGATCCTTTTCTATGTAGCTGACAGCTGTAACTGTGCAGGTGCGGATCTAGCAAAGTGTTGCCAGAGTCCATGTAGAGCATTAACAGGGAAAGGGGGGCACAAGGAAATACTTTCTTATTCTCATTTAAAATGTCTCACTTTAAAAAAAAATAATTATCTGAGTCTTGCAACAAACGATTGATAGATTGATACATATATACCATCAGAACAGTGTACATCACTGTCACAACAGTGTTTATTTTCATTCAAAGGCTTTATGATTTTCCTATAACGGTGGGCCGGTCTCTAGTCTAAATGCCCAGGACAATTTTTTTTTGTCCCAGTCCAGCTCTGTATGCAGCTCATCTGCAGTCTGGTGTACCAACATCTTCCTATTCAGAAGGCAGAATTTCCGAGTTCTGAGTACAATCGAAAGCACCACGACTGCAGTTTTTGTGTTGGATGTAAAAAGCAGGCTACGATAGAATCAGGCGTGGGATTTCTCCCGTGGAAATGTGCACATTATTTTTTCCTTTCTATTGGTAGGTGGCACAGTGCACTTGTGGCAAGTAAGCAAGTTAGAAGACTGGCAGTCTGGCTGGGTATCCAGTTACGGAAGCAACACATTAACAAGAGAATTCTGAGTAAAACCAAAGTTACTTTCCCTAGTAACTAGTTACTCTGAAAGTAACGAGTAACTTGAAGTAACTGAGTTACTTTTGATAGAAGTAACTAGTAATGTAACTAACTAATTTAAAGTAACTTACCCAACACTGGTAATGAGAAGGGGTGTGGTCTAATGACATCAACACCCTATTCAGGTGTGCATAATTGTAATGTTATGTGCACATTGAGAATTTTAGCATCTCCTAGTGGTTAGCTTGGAGACTGCGGTCAAGTGAATTTTATGTGGTTTGGCTTGTATTCCTATTGGATGTTTAGAGTCACATGAGTGGGGTGATACAGGAAGAGTTTCCTATTGGATGTTTAGAGTCACATGAGTGGGGTAATGCAGGAAGCCATTTTAGTATTGGGATTTGCACAATGAGGCGTACCAGAAGTCTCCCTGTTTAATCCTTAAGCATCCACCTGTGTTATGCCATGGAGAAGCTTTGTTTGTAAGTTTGAATTGTGTTTCATCTTTATAAGTAGTGAGTGTTGTATATTTTATTGATTTTATGCATATTTGGAGAGATGTATATATAAATGCCTAGATCTGTTCGCCATGTGAAGCAAATGCATAATTCTTTATTGAGCATATTTCTTTTTGTATTTTTTGTAGTTTCACAAGTTCTGGGAAATCACTGTAAGTTGTACGTTGATGAAGACAAACAAGTAAACAGCCCTCAACTTTACTTTCACGCCTGACTCATCATTCAACGCTTTCAGTGCTTACGGCATATGTTTAGCTATCTGTCACTTCGTGTACCAGAACCCACGCACGCAGGGGACAGAATAGTGAAAAAACAGCATCACACCTGGGATAATACAGTAAGTCTGGATAGCAGAGACCGCTAACGCTCATTAGTCTTCCTGCCTCGTTTAGTTTTACCTTGGCATGCCGAATAGTCATCATGGACAATAAGCCAGATACAGAAGATCAACAGAAGACTAGATCTCCAGGAACATCTGTGAATCATATGTGACCAGATCTGTTGCTAGTTCTTCTAACAGCTCCTGCAAGTCTTCAGCAAGCCTAGTAGCTGCTAAAGCAGCGCAAGAGCTGAAGCAGTGCGTGCTCGCTCCACCTTTGTCAAAAAGAAACTGAACTCATGGTGGAAGAAGCCCAGTTGAGAGTAGAAGAGGCACGCATGGAGGCTGCTCTGGCCACACTGAAGCAAGAGAAAGAAGTTGCAGCGGCTTTAGCTGAGGCGGAGGTTTTGGAATCAGCCGTAGCAGAACTCGCTCTAAACAAGATCTCAGGGCAGCGGACATCATAGGAATTCCCCCTGACTCCACAGAAAAAAAGAACAAATGATTATGTTGAGTGTCACTCAAGAATGCACTCTAGTCAGCTGTCGTTGCCCGGCCTTGAGTCCCATATCACCTCCAGTCGGCCACGCGATTTCTCTCATGCTCCACCACTCCAGGACAACGAACTGAATCCCATTCGTACAGCATTGATGGACTGAGCTCCACTCCAGCTCGTGTCAAGAGCCATACTACTTTGAAGAAAATGGTATGAAGCATCCATCTGCTCAGAATTACCCTGGATTTATCCATGTAGTGTCACCCCCCTGCAGGAACCTCAACCACACACACATCCTTTAGAATGCAAGCAGCGCAGCCCTCTGCTCTGAACCATACCGGCATTAATGACTTTGCTGTATACATGGCTCGCCGGAACTTGTGACATCCGGGATGACAAGTTTGATGATCGTCCAGAGAATTATGGGGCTGGAAGTCTACCTTCATGAACATCATTGAAGGCTAAAACTCACCTGCAATGAAGAGCTCGACCTTCTCACTAGATGGTTAGGTCCTCAATCATCTGAGCAAGTCAGAGAATCAGAGCTGTTCATGTCAATGACCCTGCTGCAGGGCTCAGGATGGCGTGGATGCGACTTGAAGAGAACTACGGGTCTCCTGAAATAATTGAGAAAGCTCTGCTGGACAACTGGAGAGATTTCCTAAGATCAGCAACAGGGACCCTCTCAACCTGAGAGAGCTTGGTGACTTGTTAAGGAGTTGGGGTCAGCAAGTTAGAAGGTTGTTTGCCTGGGCTCGCCTATCTGGATACCTCTCGCGGCATTAACCCAATAGTGGAGAAACTGCCGTATGGCCTTCAAGAAAAATGGATGACACAAGGCAGTGCGTACAAGCTGCAAAACCAAGGCCAGTT